GGGAATCGATATTCCTTTAGCTTCTCTGTTAGCTGCTTCACAGTGTGAAGGTGGTCTGTATTGGAGAACCCTGTTCGAAAACTGGCTTGTTCTTTACTAGTAAGCAGTTCCAGGTTTTTTCCGGTTATGGTTAAAGATGATTCAGTGTGAAGAGCTTATAGACCTGTGACAGGAGATTGATGAATCGATAGTTCCGAAGGAGGGTCATCGGCATCACATTTCTTGAACAGATAATTGTCGAAAAAATTACGAGCAATTAAAATGAAAAATAAATTTTATATCGTTTATCGAGGGCGACGCCGGATGCTGTGCAAGCACTCCAATTTGATCGAATAAATGCGTGTTCACTCTCAGACCTTTCGATGTCAAGTCAAACTAACGAGATCTTTCATTCTGGGGTTTGAGTCTTCCTGAGGGCGCCTCCCATCAGGCTTCATGTGATTCACTGGGCATCTATGATCCATTCGCTCACAAAGGGCCTAACCATCTTCAATACTTTGTTTGTTGCCAGTCGGTTACTTTTGTTGGATGTTCTAATCTCTCTCTTACGAAAGCGTTTGACATAAGATCGTACCACTTCACTCATAATTTGTTTATCTTATAATCTTCATCTCGTCGTTTCCGGTTTTCTGCTTTGAGGTTGGCGTCTGAAGATGGTTTTACCAGCCGATCAATCAGATAGCGTCGCTTCAACGATATTCGTTGTTACTAGCAACACATTGATGTAATTGCGAAGTAAAACATTGATGCTATTCAAGGCTCAGAATTTATATGCACATTATTTAGGGTGTTGATGAGTAATCATCTTTCTCCTTCATCAAGAGAGTTAGTGAAAAAGGATGAAATAAAAACTGGCATCCTTTGATTCACTGCGCGACGATTGAATTAATTATTCAGTGAACCTAGAAGCATTGACAAACATCACCTTCGTTTTGTAAGCTCACGTGTGACCACAGCAGGGTACATGCTGACGTAAGTGTTCATCGATTATCTGCTTTCTACCGACTTTTTGATCAGATTCCCTGCAACACGCTCTGATAAGTTCGTTCCTAAGAAATTATAGGAATTTAAACAAGTTAACGCCGTGGCTGGTTTCCCACTATTACCTCACTTGCAAATCAGTGATAATTTTAATTTTTAGGCTGCGCTGATGAAAGATAAAACTATCATATGAGTCAAAGCTGATGCTAACGGCATGAACGTAACTTTTGTCAGCGGTGGCATGACTATTCCACTGCACCACGCTGTCTTTATTACCCGATTTGCCAGTTTCCTTGCTGATTTTACTAAAAAGCAAAATTCATTAAATTCTTTGCTGGCATTGGAATTTTCTGGCCTATTTCACCCTTGTTGTACGTAAAGGGAGGCAACAAGCAAGCCAGTTATACCGTATTTCCCACGAAGATCACAGTAATTGAAGCAGGCATCATCATTATCAGTCTTTGTCGATCAACTGCTGGATGAAGGCCTCCAAAACTTCGCCACAGATTTCTGTTTTCTGCCATTTTCATTCTAAATTAATCCGGCGAATTTCTCCAACTCATCCTCCCATTACTTTGGAGGTCTTCCTGCTGGCCGTTTACTCTCTTTTGGAGCCCAGCCTAATATCCTGTGATTAAAGGTTCTTTTTACGGCGTATAATGTTCATTTAATATTATGACTTCTTCACTTCAGGGAATAACATCGCAGACTTGTTTGTACTTTTATCCATTCATTCGTCTTTTATTCATAACATTATTATTCCCAACATACATGTTTCCGTACTGCGTTGTGTAACTTGCAGTTTACGAATAGTTTTTAAGAATAGGGTCCACGTTTCACACCAGAAATTTAGCACTGGGCACACCTGATCACATAGATACAGGTATTTTGCGATGCGTTTGATGCTCCATCCAACCTGGACCCTGAATATCTGGAGGCATGGAATTTGCGTTGTTTAAAGCGACTTAAGGCGCTTCTGAAACCTTCTTGAATAGTATTGTTCAGCACTTAGCATCAAACAGTTACAAATCGACGTACAGAACAGGAATAAGTAATTCGCCAGGGACATATAATATTCATCACAGTGTTAGGCAGTGTGATGAGAAATTCTATTTTTATTTGAAACCAACTCTCGAATAAGGTTGTTTTACTCGTTACCTTCTTCATGCTGATAGCCATGAAATTGGAAGACTTCTTAGAATCAAGACAACTTTCAACTGATGAAATTTTTTTAAATTATAATGCAAGAAATTTTAGATGTCATTGATGGTGTGAACAGAGTTCGAAATTTACTATATATAAGAACACAGTAATTCTGTACATGGATTGAACCAGGCATCGACTGTATTTTCTAGCCTGCTTATGCCAAGTGATAAGACCCGTCGATTCTTCCACTTTTATGCATGGATATTTAATAATCCAGTTTAAAATTTAAAAATATATTAAAACTAATTTAAACAGTTTAACACGAATTTATTAAGTATAGGTGGAAATTCCACTTGAAATCTGACCCTGTCCATAAGTATGCTTGTGGTGGTTTCGTAGCATCAAGTGAACTTCGATATATTTCGAAGGTTCTTAGTTCAGTATTCAACATATCTGCGGTACGATGGCTTCTGTATTTGAAGAAATTATCGTTGTCTCGTCGCATTGTTTGAACCCATTGTTTGAAAATTTTCCCTAACTACTTTGTGTCTGAAACTTCTTTGCTACCTTTAAACAACGAATGAAATCTTGAAATTATAACTGATTCACCTAGATAGCTCAATCCTAAAGGCGAAAATAATACGTGTTAGAAAATGTACATAATTGTAGCGGTAACCATGAAAAGATAAAAAAATAATCTATCGGCACGAGCAGTAGTTCAATAAGGTTATTGATTTCTTGCTTCGGAAGTGCATTGCGGATGTCTGTCGATCAGCTCATCGTATATAAACGATCGACATTTTCTGTTAAAGCTAGTTGCAAGCCTGCTGGCGTCGTGAGAATCTCCGGTTAGTAGCAATCCCAGCAGAGTGTAATGTGTTAAAGTAGTCGATTGTTGGCCTTCGTACATCAGGAGACGATTTAGATCTTCTACGGCTTCCGCGTAGATTCGAAAATGACCGACACCGTTCGCACCATTACTCAGCTGATGAGGCAAATCGCACCTCCGGTGGAGAAGCCACATTCAAAAATCAGTATCATTGGAGTCGGACAGGTGGGCATGGCTTGCGCTTTCAGCATCCTCACATCGGTGGGTATTTTCTTTCGCTGTTTTCCAGTAAGCATTTGTGACGCTTTAGCAAATCGCCAGTGAAATCGCCCTGGTGGACGTCGACGAGCAGAAACTGAAGGGCGAGATGATGGATCTACAGCAGGGCATGGCGTTCACGCGTTCTGCTGTTAACATTAGGGCCGACAAAGGTATGAACATTTTGTATGAATTTTTCTCTACATTCGCCTATTCTCTAAGCAGAATATCTCTGATTGGCATCATAAGCTGTCCTTCG